ACTGGGTGGAGGTGAGCTATGGGGGGAAAAAAGAGGAACAACTGTAATAATCTGAACAATAAAGATTTAATTTTTAAAAAAAGGAAAAAAACCAGTTTCGATGGTTGAACCAGAATGAGGTTTAGAGCCCAGTCAGCCTGACCTCTGCTTCCCCCTCTAATGGTGGCTCCAGAGGCACCCAGTGACTACTAAGGTATCTGTACAATGTCAAGGGTGATGACGCAGCCTCATTTGCATACCCATAATACCCTGCGCAGAGTACAATGCTTTTCAAGTTTAAAAGACTTTTTTTTTTTAACTTGTCATTTCTAAGTACAAGAAACTTACTTGAAAAATATCTTGTGCAAACTTTGGGCAGAAAATACCCCTAGCGCTAAAACGCCACCATAACTGAACTAGGTGTTGTAGGTCTTGGGGACGGGAACTCGGGCACTGCCAAGGACAGTCTGCTTTCTACTCAGACTGTATTAGTCCTTTATCCTTTACTGGCGGTTTCTGTGAAGAGAAATACATTTTACAAACTGTTCTATATCTTCAAGAGAAATACGTTTTACAAATTGTTTTACGCAGAGTCTACACCTTCAAGAGAAATACGTTTTACAAACTGTTTTACACCTTCAAGAGATATACGTTTTACACACTGTTTTACACCTTCAAGAGAAATACATTTTACAAACTGTTTTACACTTTCAAGAGATATACGTTTTACACACTGTTTTACACCTTCAAGAGAAATACATTTTACAAACTGTTTTACACCTTCAAGAGAAATACGTTTTACAAACTGTTTTACACCTTCAAGAGAAATACGTTTTACAAACTGTTTTACACCTTCAAGAGAAATACGTTTTACAAATTGTTTTACGCAGAGTCTACACCTTCAAGAGAAATACGTTTTACAAATTATTTTACGCAGAGTCCACACCTTCGGGAACTCCTGGACTTCAACGACCTCTGCTATGGAGGCTGATCGCTCGGCAATACTCCGCATGAAGCGGAAGCCTAGCGAGGAACCTGCCGAGGCCCCGGTCCTCGCCTGTAAACGCTCCCCGAGAGATGCGGGGGAGTCGGCGGTCCAGGAGGTCCTGGTCCAGCTCCTGCGCGCTCTGACCCGACCCCGGGCCACCCCTCAGCGTATCCGCCACAAGCTACGGGCTTCGACTCGGAAGATCCAGCAGGAGGGTCGCTACAGGGTAGTCTCTAGCCACCGACCCTCGGGCCTTCTCTCTGATGACCTGGAGTCCGAGGACGCGCGGAAAAACCCAGAAGCCGACAGTGACGCAGGCTTCCAGCTGTTGGATCTGGTCCACAAAGGAGACCCAGAGGCCGCTGCTGCCGCCGCCGCCACCTCCTGCAAAGTATCTGATCCAGATGTGACCCTTTGCAATTCTGTAGAGTTGCTCCCCGAGCGGTTGACTACATCTGAGGATGGACCAAGTGTCGGGCACCGGGAGGAACAGAAGGATGACTATGTGCATGACATTTACTACTTGAAGAGGGCCACTCCAAGATGGATTAAGAAGGTCCTCTCTAAGCAGCCCTTAAGCCAGGAGTGTGAGCTGGTGGATGAGGACGTTGATAAAGAGGAAGATGAAGATGATGAGAATAGTGAGAATAATTGGCGCAATGAGTACCCAGAGGAGGAGAGCAGTGATGGAGATGAAGATTCCAGAGGCTCTGATGAATGCGACAGCCTCAGTGACGAGGAAAGCGGCAATAGCAGTCCACAGATGCGGGGCAAATACCCTTGGTATGTGGAGAAGGAGTTTGGTTATAACAGCACTGATGACCTGGACTGGGACTGAGGATCCTGTGACAACCATGAGGTTGGATTCCCTGTCTGGGCACATGCCTGGGTTGCAGGCTCGAACCCAGATTCTCAACATTGATGTTTCTTTCTCTCCCTGTCTGAAATCAATGAAAATTAAATAAAAAAGAACTCCAACAGAACATCCTCAAACCCAAGCAACATTTGCCCATTCCCCTCTTTCATTTTGTCCCACATTATGTGTTACTGT